CACATCTCAGTATAGGGACCATAGTGCACTTGCAAGGGAATCCTTGCCACTGTTCCCAGCTGTGAGAAGTAGTTTATCTACTTTTGGTTGCCAATAGTAGGTGCGTGCACAGCTCAGGATGTCAGGTATCAGCAGAAAGAATCTATTGTTGCCCTTGGCAGCCCTTCTGTAAATGTGCTGCACTAAAGAAAATCAAAAGATTTTGTCCCCTTTATCTAAGGAAGCCAAGTCATAATCTAGTTGTGGAACCCCAGGCCAGCCCTGCTTCTACCACTCACTGTACATCTGCGGACACTATTCTGAATCTGACTGAGGGCAAACTCCTGATGGAGGGAATCTCTGCCTCTAAACCTCTTAAAAAGAGAAATGGTTAGGGATAACTGAGGCTCCATCCCACCCTGATCATTTAGGTAACTTTAGCAAAAGGCTATAAATAAGCATAGCTTGGAAATGAACTTGGTTTTAGTTAATCTGTTGGATATTTACTGAGGATATGGCATGGGGAAAAATGATCAGCTATGGACTGCAAACAACTTCGATAGTGGACAGGCTTCTGTTGTATAGGGAGTTGGTCAATGTGTGGGAATAAGCTGATTGATATTGTCCATTCCTCTCCAAATCACAGGTCTGATGAGGGGTTTGCAGCTGGACAGTTGACATTTATGGTTTATATTTCATTGTGTTTTGTTATTTTTACATGTATTAATTTTAATTCAAGCTTCCTTCTCTTTATTGTTTATGAGATATGAGCAATGCCAGCTCAGCCAGCATTTATGACTTACCCCTAATTATCTTGAAGAAGGTGGTGGCAAGCTGTGTGATTAATTTCATGCAAAGGTTCAGTTATTTTCCAGTTTACAGATTCTAAGATACTGTTATGTATTTTCTGTTATTTTTTATTCTGGATTATTTAGAAAGACAGTAGCAACTTTGGGACATCCTATATATTTCAAAGCTTCCAACAGACAGACAGCTAAACATTACACTACATTTGGACCCTCATAAAAAACCAAATAAAATCTGAAGACCTATAACACAACAGCCATACCTCCTATTTATATAATATTATAGCAGCTAAGCTTATAAAAATATACCAAATACTTTTTAATAAATTAACACATTACTAATTGTGATTTAGTGGCAGCTTTCTTACTTCTGAGTCAACAGTTGTGGATTAGGGTTAGATTCTGCACCGGAGATCTAAGCTCAAACTCTTGGCTTACACATTAATGCAGTACTGAGAGAATGCTGCAATGTTGAATGTGTCATGTCTCAGATGAGATAGTAACTAAGGCCCCGCCTATGCTCTCTTGTAAAGGTTTCTGTGTCACTATTTGGAGGAAGGGAACAGAATTTTCCTAATCTCAATATTTATCACTCCACTACTAAAACTGGTCATTTGGTCATTTTGGTCATTTGGTCATTTACCTGTTTACAATTTGTGGGAACTTGCTGTGCACAAATTGGTTCCTTGTTTCCTACATTCTAAAAGTGACTATATTTCAAAAGTATTACATTAGCTGTCAAGTGCTTTGGGACACCTTATGGTCATGAATGTGCTAAAAATGCAAATAATTCTTCCTTACATTCAACAAAAGAAAACTATAACTTACCTTAGGTTTTTTTTCAAATTCCTTTCAAAATGTTTGGTATGATTAACAGTTTTAAACCTCTATTGTTGTGTTATGTCTTGCAGCAGAAATGTCATATACCTTTAACGAACATGTTCACAATGTCATCTCTGTGTCTTGGCATGTGACAGCAAAGCATAAAGCTCTCAGTCTCCATCTCACTGAGCTCTGTCCTTGTGCAGCATGATACACTGAGGGAAGTGTACTGAATTACATACAAATTGCTTAGCTTGACCTGAGGTTGGAATGTACATTTGTAAATACCATGAGTTACAATAAATGTTCATTGAATTCTTCAACACTATATGAATCATATCTTATATTTATGTTATGGGAGCTAAAATAAGTATCAAAGCTTGAAAAGTGCAAATCATCAGCTTTCATGATTTACTATCAATGTCATCTATTGTTTAAGAGTTCATTCTTTTGATTTTGCCTCTGAGAAAATATTTGGAATGTTTATTTACATTAAAGGGATCACATAATGACAAATTGTTTATTTCAGTCAGATTTGTTGAAAGATTGTGGGCTTCACTATATCTTTGAATTTAGATTGAGCTTGGTAAATTTTCTACAGATATTTCTTTATTTCACAGTGGAACAGGAGAATCTGGGAAAAGCATGTGTAATGAATTCAACACACTGGGAGACTTCCAAAGTTTTCAAGCTGTGAATTTATCAACACTTCCTTTTGCAAGATTGTTACATCAACTGTGGGTCATCCAGCTATCCAACCTAGCAAATGTTGAGGCTTTTTGTGTCTTGCTGTGTGGTGTTGGCTGCTTCTACCTGATATGAGCAAGACAGAGGAGAAATAAGTGGAACATTTGCGGAAAATGCTCAGAGCAAAAGACCTCTCTCTGACTTTTGTCTTAGGCACCCTTGCCATCTATTCTACTCTCCTTCTCCATCTATGGTAATAACACAAGAAACTTAATTTTCCAACCTGTTTCAGTCCTGAAGAAGTGTCATATCAGACTCAATATAATCTTAATTTGTCTGTTTTCACGTTGCATACTGGATCCTCTTTCTCTGGCATTAATTTTTAGTTGTTGTCCTCTGAGATAGTTTTATACTTTGTTTCAGCATCACTTTTACAACGTTCTGCTTATCTGCCACAATCTACTCTTTAATATTTTCCAATATATGTGTATGAACAGTGCAGGGTACTATACCAATTGCACTAACTTGTTCAGATTCTGTAAATTTATAAACACTACCAATTAACTCCAAGGAATGCATTGTGATTGGTATTTGATTTCCACATTGTGATATTACTATTTCTCCATCATTGCTTTTCAATGCTTTCATTTTTGCTGCCCTTCACTTTTGTAATATACCATGTCCCCTGGATTAAATTTTATTTCTCAACATGAGATGGCCTGCTCAACAGTAACTCAAAAGTAACTTGATTTCACATCTTTGCTGATAAGATGGTTTACTTCAGCCATGTTACAGGGGTTCATTATTCTTTTTAGTAACTATAGTGTGTTGTTATCCCTGAATTAGAAACAAATAGAATTTCCAATTTCCTTAATCTTACTTTGATCCATATTGTTTAGAAACCCACGTAACATTTTAACTAATTCCTTCCATACTCTGTGGACATGCATTTACTGTCAAACTCTTGCACAGCCAATTGAGCTTGCGAACAGGACATACATTACTGGGCTGAAACAACGTGAAACTAATTTGATTCCTTCTGCCTGACCAGTACTGTCACTTTCTCCTCACAGACCCTCTGAGTCATAGTTCATTTTGAAAGTCTTGTTATTTTGATTAGGACAATGTGTTTCACAGTGATATTTCAAGTGAAATCTGAAACACTTGTTCCCTAGCAATTCCCAGCGTTTGTTCTTCTGCCACAGTTCCTCAATGTGTGTGGTCTACATAGTTGTTAAAGGTGTCTCTATCTCACTTGTTTATGAATCTTCCTTAATATTAATGCTAGCATATCTGGATCATCTGGAAATATTGCCACTATTGAATCCTTGTGTCATTGGTACCATGAAAATGGCTGGAAATCAATATTTTCTCTGGAGTGTTTTTAACGCGTCTGTTTCTTTTCAGTAGCATATTCTTTTCTTAAAATCTAAGTCCAATTAATATTGGGAATCTATCCATGTTTAACATATTAGCACAATCTAACTATTTGAAGGAAAATATTACCTTAGAAATCTTCAAATATAATTTTTGCAATCTTCTATATAATCTGTTAAATTCAATTATGTATTTCTCAATATAATAACCATAAACTTTAATACAATTCCCAAACTTTCTTCAGTGTCAAATTGTTGAATTTCTAGTTCCAATATACTTCACACCTGATTTCGCTTTGATTAGGAAATGACAGTGCCAAAGCCAAATCCCAATTTTCTTTAGGTGGAAATGTGACCCAAGTCTACAAATCCACTTAATTTTACCAATGATTATAAGGGGACAGCTTCACAGAAATCAAATCTCAATATTTCACACTCAGAAATCATTCAATCTTCTTCAGAAGAACTCCAGTTACTGTTATATAAGACAGGCTAATGTCACCATTGTTGCGTAAGGCTGCTGTGTCATTAGAGAGAGATGACAGATGATGGTTTAACCCAAGGGTCATCATGCCTCAGGCAGGGGGGTGAGGTTTAGAAGGTAGGGTCTTTGTAGTGACATCTGCTGCTGCAGGAATTGAACCTGTGCTGTTGCCACCAGTCCATATTATAAACGAGCCATTCAGCCAACTGAGCTGAGAGTATCTGTAAAGAAAATGGAAATTTCTGGAAAAACTCACCAAGTTTGGTTAAATCAGGGAGAAATCAGAGTTAACTTTCAATTTCAGTGACCTCTCTTTAGAACACTTCATATTTCCAACATCTGCAGTTCTTTGCTTTAATTTAGTACTTGTAAGAGCTGACATCATGAGATAAACTGCTTCAATGAGATATAGACCATTGCCCCTTGAAAAAACTGATGTTCCAGTGTTTGGTTCCAGTTATCCTGATGCTAAATCATAGCAATGTATGTTCCCAACTAATGGTAATTTTGGGCAAGCCAGATTCCAAAGTGAAGCCTGATGCAATCGATCATAGGTTTTAAATTTAGAAATTGATTGCTATGGTGGTCAGTCACTGAACGTATTCACTCGTGGCTGCCAATGTACTTTTACCAAATCATCAAAAGTTTATTACATGCATAAATTTGAACAGACTAATTCTAACAATTGCAGATTGACAATTGGACCTTTTAAATACAGTATCCTAATAATGATGAACTATGATGTAACAAAATATAAAATACTCACGCCACTAAATGAAAAGAAATCCCAGCACATATTGCTCACTGGTATCATAAAATAAACCATTCTTGTTTTGAGAAATATTGTCATTCCAGGTACACATTCATCATTGGAGAGTGTTCATCAAATATCTTACAAGAAATGATCATTTTTAATGCTTTATGAAACCAGAGATAAAAAAAGCCATATAATATTGGATTGCAAGTGGAATTAAAATAACCAAGCCACACAAACACTTCAAACAATGCAGGAGGTGTGGAGAAACCAATATAAGGATCAACAATGGTAATTATGAAAAATGGCAACCAGCAGATAATGAAGATTCCTATTACATCCCCCAGCTTTACAGCAGCCTTGAATTCTTTTTTTTGGAAACCTCCTGTATTATTTTGCTGTTTCGAATTCAATCTGTGTGTTATATTTCCAATTGCTCGAAAATGCTTCCTTGCTACAAAATATATTTTGAGGTATATATATACAATAACTGAAACTGGTACAAAAACTGCTATCAGTGGATCCAGATGGCCCCATAGTTTATTAAAGATGAGCGCACAACTGCCATGGCAAGAAATAGCACTGATATAATCTTCGATTCCATATACATTAGCATCTGAGAAAATTAAAGCAAATCCATAAACTATAGAAAACATGCAACTAAATGTAACAAATAAACCAATGACAGGCAGAGTGATTTTTGTCGGATAGAGTAAAGGTTTGCACACAGCATAGTAACGGTCAATGGCAATAAAACACGTGATAAATCGATGTTATTGTCAGCACCATGTCCAGGCCTGAATGGATTTTACAAAATATACTTTCAAAATACCAGCATGTATCAACAGACCTAATCGTACTGTAAGGCAAAACCACCAGCCCCACTAGAAAATCAGTTACAGCAAGTGAAAGAACAAGAAAATTGGTTTCTGTCTGTAGTTTTCTAAAATGTAAGATTGAAATAATCACCAGTAAGTTGCTTATAATTGTAATCAACACAATAATTACAAAGATCATATATAATGCTACATGTACAGCTGTTGACTGGCTGTTTTTGCGACATGAAGTGTTGACAAATTCAAAGCAGTCTTCTGTATCAGCCTTATCCTGAATTTGGGTTGAATTCATTTCCCTTTTCTCAGTGTAATTTTGAAATAGGAAAGAGACAGTTTATGAAAGAGGAGTTTGCAGTAATCTTGGACCAGGAAGTCCTCCTGCATTTTAAAATAGATGTTGATCCTGTGGAAAGGAAGATTTAGTATATTTTAATATGACCTTTTCTTTGATTATATAAATGCTGTCGTCACTCACTCAGTGCACAAACATTCACAATTCATATACACAATCTTCATAAATTCCAATCACAGTATCCATATAGTGTGGAAACAGGCCATTCAGCCCATCAAATCCACACCAACCCTCTGAGGAGCATCCCACCTAGACCCACCCCATACCCTATCCCTGAATTCCCCATGGATAATCCATGTAGCCTACACATCCCTGGATAATATGGACAATTTAGCATGGCCAATCCACCCAACATACACGTCTTTGTACCATGGGAGGAAACCCACACATATAGTCGCCCAAGGGTAGAATTGAACCTGGGTCCCTGGCACAGCAAAGCAGCAGTGTTAACCACTGAGTCACCACGCCTATAAAAGGCAAAGACAAAATTATTCACATTTCATTTTAGGAAGCTATTGGTCTGTGTGATCACTATTTGAACTCTAGCAAGAGAGTCATTGAGGAAACTCATAGTGTTCATTTCTACACTGGACAGATTTGGCAATTTCACTAACATTATGATATATTTAAAATGAAACTAAAGATCAGTAATTCCTCTATACTTTTAATTCAGCTTTGGGTAAGCTCAAGGAGTGCAACAGATGTCAAATGAAATTTTTTTAGATCCATCTTCCACACTATACTAATGTTATAAATATAGTTCCTGATTCTGGAGCTCCATTGTCACTTTCTAAAATGCTTGTCATTAGGTGAAAGTATTCTTGAAATAGCCCTGTCTGCTCACAAGTCAAGTCAAAATAAACGCAATTTTCCAACTTTCATTAGAAAAAGCCATTTTAAATAAATATTACGACTATTATAATGACTACAGAATTTTTTTAAACTGGAAGTAAATGACAGCTTCGTTTCAATTATTCAATATTCAGCTTAAGTCAAATTGAGTCACAATGATACTGGACTTATCACATTTCACAGATTTTTACACATCCTCACTGCAGCCAAATGATTACCTAAGCCAAAGAATGTAATTGCATTTGAAGAATGTTCCTGGCCTCTTGATGGTGAAGTCTGATGTGTTGCTCTAACTCAGTTCTTTGTTTTCATCGATCCCTCGTTGTGATTTCTCAAGAAATATCTTAGATCCAGTGCACGTGTTGAATTACACAGACATGCTCCTCGATCTAACTTGAGACTCATCATGTATTTGTTTTGAATCCCAGTCTAAATGACGTAAAATAATGCAGCCAATTAGGTATATCTTGTTTTCATCAGAGTTCCAACCAATCTCTTTCATTTCATTAAAACAAAGCATGTATTGCTCCCATAAATAAGTAAAGGAGCACATAACAAAGAAAGGATGCAAGAGTGCTGACAGTATAATATACTTGGATTGGCAATGTTTATTCATACTTACTGGGGATTACAATATGTTTTGTAATTACTGTTAATCCTCATTTTGAACAATCTTTTCAACTTAGCTTTACAGTATTAATGATTACTAAAGCTAATTATTTCAATGAGTTATCTTTTCACCGACAATAAAAGTGTATTTGAGATTTGACAATTGATACCTCTTGCTTCTGCCTAGTTGTTAATACAACTTTTTATTTTGTCAATCTATCAATTATTCATATTGATTTTGCAATTCATCATGCTTTCTTATTCTTATCAAATACGTTTTAGTCATTTTCCCCGTCCCACTTTATTCTCTCTTCTCAAATAAGTGTAAATGCTTTTCATTATACTTTTCCTGATTCCATTCTATACATTTGACATACAATTCAAGGATAAATGGCTTAACAAACTTTTTACCTCTTTACTTGATGGTTCTGCAATCCTTCCCAAAAGATTGGCAACATTATAGAGAACATTTCATTATAGAAAATCATTCAGAAATTTACTACTTGGTGTTCCTTGAAATAGCCCCAGGAGGTTGTGAACGTGTTGAAAAGTTGTCTCAATATTATCTTTCTCAATGGAAAATTAATTGAATCCTTGGAGAAATCACAGGAATGGTTCAAAAACCCTTTAGCCAGAGATTCCACATAATACTCTGCAAGAGTAATGTCAGGACATCAAGAGAATGGAAATTCATGGCTCTATCAACTTTGGATGAATTTGAAACAATCGGAGAACTGATAAGAATCCTGTACTGTTTCTCTCCAACAGACCTGATGCTATCACCACCAATCAGACATTTATCTGCTAGCCAATCAAACGAGTTGGGATTAATAATGTGCCAAATCATAGATTATTGCAGAAAATAAAAGCTGGCGGTGAAGGGATAGCATATTGGCAAGGGTAGAAGACTGGCTAAGAGGAAACTTAGAACAGTCATAAATTAATCATTTTTTTGGTTGGCAAGATGAAACAAGTGGTGCATCATAGAGCATCAATGCTGTGCCATTAACCATTTACAATTCATAATAATGATTTGGATAAAAGGGCCACAGGTATGTTAGCTAAATTTGCTGATGACGCAAATATGGGTAAAAAAGATGTGAAGAGGATATAAGGAAGCTACAAAGGGTTAAAAAGTGGGTAAAGACCTGGCAAATGGAATATAATGTGGGAAAGTGTGAAATTTTTATTTCTGCAAGGAAAGCATAATGTCTAAATGGTGATTGATTGCAGAATTCTGAGATGTATAAGGATCTGGCTGTCCTGGTGCAGGAATTGTAAAAGGTTAGTCTGCAGTTACAACAAGTAATTATGAAAACAAATAGAATGTTATCATTTATTAAAAGGGGAATTGAATGCAAAGGTAGAAAGTTTATGCTTCAGTTAAAACAGCATTGTTGATATCATAATTGGACTACTGGCTACAGTACTGGTCTCCTTATTTAAGGAAGGGGCTAAATGAGTTCTGAGCAATTTAGAGAAAGTTTACTAATCTACTGTGTGGAATTGGTGTGGTGTGGGTTGTCTTTTGAGGAGAGGTTGGAAGGTCTGGGCTTCTATTTACTGAAGTTTAGAACAATAAGAACTGCTAAATGCTGAAATGTCCAGCTGGTCAGTTGGCATTTAAAGGGGATGGATACCTGAATCATTCAGCTATAGCCCATCATTAAAGTTTTGAAATATGCTTATCTAATACATTAAACAGTCATTACTCTCTTTCAAATGAAACAAAACCAATGACTCCAGATCTGCAGCAACATGATTGACTCTTAGCTGCCTTCTGGGGAATTAGGGCTGGGCAATAAATGCTGGCCTAGCCAGTGGCACCCACACACTGTTATTGAATGAAAAGTATCCTGCAAAACCTTTCTAGATTGACTAGGTTGGGATTGTTTTCGCTGGAGTTCAGACGAATGAGGGGGAATCTCATAAAGACTTATAAAATTCTAACAGGACTGGACAGGGTAGATGCAGGGAGGATGTTCCTGATGTTGGGTGTGTCCAGAACCAGGAGTCACAGTATGAGGATTCGGGGTAGATGATTTAGGACGGAAATGAGGACACATTTCTTCATCCAAAGAATGATGATGAGTCAGGAGAATTCATTGCCACAGGAAGTAGGTGATGCCAAAACGTTGAATGTATTCAAGATAACAATGTGTGGAGCTGGATGAACACAGCAGGCCAGGCAGCATCAGAGGAGCAGGAAAGCTGACGTTTCGGATCTG